TTTGCTTGGGAATCAGGTGCCTAGCAGCAATGTGACGCTTCTCAAGCGTGGTATAGCCAGACAGCTGAATAGTCTCCATACGGTCGAGAAGTGGAGGTGGAATGGTATCGAGCGAGTTGGCCGTGGCAATAAAGAGAACCTTGGACAGGTCGATGGGGATATTGACGTAGTGGTCGGTAAAGTTGTGGTTCTGCTCCGGGTCGAGCACTTCGAGCATAGCAGCGCCAGGGTCGCCGTTGTGGTTGGACATGCCGAGCTTGTCGATCTCGTCAAGCAGGAAGACGGGGTTCGCAACACCGACCTTCTTCAGTCCGCTGACAATTAGACCAGGCATGGCTGCGACATAGGTCCGACGGTGACCACGGATCTCTGCCTCGTCACGAACACCACCGAGGGAGATGCGGTGGAACTTGCGGCCAAGCGCCGTGGCAATCGACTTGGCCAGTGATGTCTTTCCGGTGCCAGGGGGCCCGACAAGAAGCATGATCGGCGACTTGTCGACCATGCGCTTCTTCTCCAGCAGCCGCAGCTCCGTCTCGGACGGTTCCTTGGGGGCCTTCTCTTCCGGGTCTTGTTGCTTGGCTTCCCCGTCATTGGGCGCCTCGGTCAGGGACCGGATCTGGTCATCAATGCTCTTGTTCGCCTGCTCCTTCAGCTTGAGCACGGCCAGGTACTCGAGCAGCCTCTTCTTGATCTTTTCCAAACCGTAGTGGTCGTCGTCCAGCTGCTTCTTGGCCCTCACGAGCGTGTTTGCATCAAGCTGATCGACGGTTGTCTTGGTCCAAGGAATTTCGGCAAGGTTCTCGAGATAGTTGCGGCATACCTGGTACTCAGCCTGTGCCGGGTTCATCTTCTGCAGTCTTGATAATTCTCGCTGTGCCGCCTTGTTGGCTTCTGGCGACAGCTTGGCGTCTTCCAGTCTCTTCTTCAGCTCATCAATCTCATTGGGCTCCTCTTCACCAGCCTGCTGCTGCCCACCGCCGGGGAAGCCAGCGGGCACCCCGCCCATCTTGCTCCGCCTCTTGAGAACTTCTTGTTGTAGTTTTCGCAGTGTGTCCATGTCCAAGGCGCCGCCCGATGGCTGTACCGTCGCAACCGTCATGCGCGTGTTGCCTTGGATGCTGGTGATTTGCCTTTGCAGAATCTCAATAACTCTATCGACCCTGTCCTTTACGTCGACAGCTGCGAGTACGCGCAGCGTCTCTTCATGTGTACTGTCCACCACATTGGCCATGAAGTCGGCCAGCAAGCCAGCATCCGACAGGTCCTTTCTTGTGATGAACATTTCGAGTCTCCGAGCGACAATCGGTGACAGTGTGACTTGGGGGGTGCGCGGTAGGATGGCGGAGAGCCGGACCAGGGCGAGCAGCTCGCGCGAGAGCTGCTTGAGGAGGTTGAACTGGTTCAGGAGGTCTGCGTTTCCAATGTCGACTGCGATTGTGAGCCGCTGCCCAATTTGCATGCGACGCGAACAGATACTTACTGTATTCTTCAACAGGCGCCAACTCGCCCTCAAAGTACGGCCTCTCCTGGACAACCCCGACAATCTGCACCCGCTCGAGCCCCTCGACAATCAGGCTCAGATCGCCCTGCTTGCGGCCGTGGACGCCGCTGACCTTTGCGACGCAGCCATAGCCAAAAATGTCCTTCTTGGTGGCCTGCATGGGGTCGCTCTCGTAGACCGTCTTGTCGGCATGGCGAGTGTCGTCAATCAGCAGGTGGCCTTCCGGGCCGAGCGTGTTGGAGCGGAGGGGCACGCACGCGACCGTGATGGCGGCATCGGGCTTTGCCGTGGGACTGATGCTGTATATCTTTGCGAGAATGGCCGCGACATCGGAGCGATTGGCAATCGGGATCTTGAGCGTGGTGCCGGGGAGCACGGCGAGGGGCGGCGCGAGGGGAATGAGGGGGAGCACCGTAGTGCTTGTCTTGGAGGAGCCTTTGCCCATCATGAGGTGCTAACGGTGTCGAGGAAACAATGGCTAGGCGCGAGGTAGTGGCAGTGACGTGCGGAGCCGCCGCCGGGACCAGTGGCGGGAGGGCGCGGACTTCGGGGAGAGTGACGGGGCGAGCAGAGAGCGATGCAGCCGTGGCAGGCGAAAGGGGGCTGGGAGGCGGGCGACGCGCTGGTGTATCTATGTATCGTGCTGAGATTGGGAGAAAAAGCAATTATGGCGACGAGCCCATCACGCGACGGCGGCCATGTCCATCGATAAATGGGCGAGGGCGCGACTGGTTCCAGAAGATACTCTGAATCTCGCCGTCATCTCGACGCGGCATCACGAGGGGCCCCAGGCCGAGGTTAACTGCGCCGACGACCAATCATGTCGAGCCCCTCGCCCAAGACCCATCACGCACCAGACGTCTGCACTCTGCCCCAGCAGTGGCTTGGTCACGTGAGCCTGCCAAAGATGCGCTTCCATTCACCCTGCGACTCTGCTGCATGTACCCGCTCCTGTTCGGCCCCAGCCTATCTACACATGTGCATAAACAGACATCTGCCACCCAGCCACGCTGCAAATGCACCCAGCAACTCGCTTCCCATCCTTTTGCATATGTTCATGACGTCTCGGAGATGCCGACAGACCAAGCATAAAGAAGTGTCGACCGTCTCCCACACGCCTCGCCATGTACGCGGGTATTGCCCAGACTCAGCCAACAAAGAAGTCCAGCCTTGTCCCTCGTCACACCACACGAGCCAACACCGAGTGTTATTGTCATGCCCTTTATGTCGGCGTATTTCTGCCATGCGTGGCGGACATACTGTAAGGAGCCTAGCAGCCAATACCGTTAGCTACGCCCGCCCCACCTGTTCAAGACGCGAGTGGCTTACCAGGACTTTCTTTGCATTACAGATGCGCCACGCCAGATTCCTGACCGTACCGTCGGCCTGAACTACCTCGGGTGCGAACTCAATACCAAACCTAGAAATCATCAGTCCATCGCCTAGAAATGCCCAGGAAAAAGTATCCACCTACATTTGGTGGACTGCAAACACGACGCGCTTGGCAAATTTGCCGTCCCTCTCGACCAAGCTGCCAAACGGCTCCTCAGGCGTCGAGGGTGCAATCTCCGGGTCGCGATCAAAGCAGTTCTGGATAATCGGAAGGAGTGCCTCTTCCACGGCGCGATGCGTCGTGCCATTCTCGTCCACCTCGACATCATCTTCATCGAACCGTGGGATGCGTATCTCGAAAGCCTGCGACAGTGCCATGACATGGTGCCCGCCGCCATGGTGGTACCTAAACTCAAACACACCCGTGGTCCACCACAGCTTGTCTCCGCGGAACTCGACTTCGCCAGAGTAGCAGTCCGAGGACTCGTCGTCAGCAGGGTTCGCAGGCACCAGCTTGTCCGAGACCAGTATGCCGTCGTCAGCACGAGCAGAGTCGAACATGTCCTTGTTCGTCGCCACCCATCGTCCGTTGGAGCTGATGCTGGTAACCTCGCGAGATTGATTGTCAGTAACCATGTACAGCCCAATCCAGTCCTTCTTGCTATGGTTAACAGGGGCCTGCCAGCGAACTTTGATGGGCGCGCCGTATTCAAGAGCGAGCGTCTTGTATCCATTCGTTCTAGCCGCTGGAGCTCTGGCAAGCTCTCCTTCGCGTCCGCCATTCTTCTGTAGCTCGACCGTTGCCGGCAAGACGGTGCCTTGGACCTCTAGCTTGTATTGCTTGGCGTCCAAGTCAGTCATGTCGTGTGACGAGCGACCGATTGTAATGCGCGTTGGGTAGGCCTTGAGCAAGCTCGTTGAGGATTGGAAAAAACCATCAAACCTGGCAGCAACCTTTGGTCGAGTATCATCCAGGAACTTTTCGATAGATTCCACGACCGAGTTGATGTACCTGTCGGCTGCCGATTGCCACTGGCGGACTGGATCAGGCAGTGCCTGGCGCACAGTCTTGCTGACACCTGACATTTCACGGAGGTTGCGACCGTACAGCTACATGGTACAATTAGCAAAGATTATTACAGAGCATGGGGGTTATAGTGTCAAAGAATATTTTGCCCAGGTTTAGACCAGGCTTGACGTCTAAAAGACACACAAGCCGTCTTTGCAGTGTGTTGAACACATGTTTATGACTGACCTTGATTACGTGTGGCTTCTCCACAAATTGAAGGAAGATAAGATTGAGGATATGAGCTGTTGTAGCAAGATAGAAGATTGCCGGATTCCATGTGATGATGGCGATGCCCCAAACGCCAGCGAGCCCGAGAACTCTCTCGGGGTTGTTCAGAAAGCGGTAGATGCCACTGTACGTAAGCGATCTCGAAGGCGGGTCGTAGAAGAAATCGCCGCAGAACCAGCCAAACTCGCCCAGAGACTCATAGATGCTCATGGCGACCCACAGTTGAAGGGCAACCATGGCAGCACCCAGAACGTGTCGGAAGAGCGCAAGTCCACTTAGACCGTCTGAGGGAAGCGTGTACATCTTCCAGGCGACTGCGACAAAGCTAGCGTGACTCATGGTCGTGCTCATGTGGTACAGAGACTTCCACTGGCGCCAGGCCTCTTCTTTGGTATCGCCGTACTTGATAAAGTGTTTAGTCCAGTTCTTCTTCTTTGACTGTCGGTCGAGAATGTAGCCCAGTCCCAGCGCGTACCACAAACGCCACGCGAAAGCGTTGACAAAGAGGAATGCTTTCACAAGCCATGTGTTTGGCGTCAGTACTGCCAAGCAAATCATATAGAACGAAAGCAATACTACCGTGACATCTATGGAGCGGTGGAGGTCGGTGTTCAGCGGCCCTACGATGTGGTGCGTTGGGGCAGGTTGCTTGGAGGGATCGTAGGCCGTTTCGCCGAGAGCCGAGTCAGATTGGCTGAGCTTGGAGCGGTCTTCCAGGGCAACCTCCCCTGAATTCTGGCGCGTTCGGCGGGGAGGAGCTGGGTTGTAGGTGGCTTCAATATGTGGCTCCTCTACAATGGACAAGAAGGCAAATTGCGCAGCATGGGCGATGATGGAAATGGCTAAAACCTTGTAGCTGGCCGTCATCAGAGCAATACCATAGTACCCGGCATAGCCTATGGAGTACATGGGGCTGTGGAAAAGGGCAGTGCGTTAGTACAGCGGTAGCCAGATCAAAAAAACCATAACAGAGAATCTTACTGCGGTGCCATTTCGAAGACGCCGTCAAACGTCAGGCTCTGGTCGATGAGGTAGAAGAAGTCGCCCCAATACCAGGCAAAATCTTTGACGACCCGGTGCGCGTCAAGCTTGACCCAGAGGTTGAAGAGGAAAAGCACGACACCCGTGGTCCATCGTAGAGTCCACAGGAGCCAGCTTTCTTGAGGGCGGTTGAAGCAGGCCATGGCGAAAAGGCAGTATGACACAAAATCACACATGAGGATCAGATCTACCAGGCGCCTAAAGACCAGCCACGTGTTGTACTCGAGCGGGGCTTCTGCAAACTTGTAGTCGTGGGGAATCTTGGTCTCGAGTTCACGCTCAAGGAGCTTGTACAGCGCGGGGTTTGGGTTTCTGCCAGTTTCAGGCTTTTCGAAAATGTGGCTCTGCTTTGCCCACAAGACAAGGCGCTTGTGCTTGGACTGCCCGTCGAGCAGCCAGCCAATGCCGGCATTGTAGGCGGCGCGCCAGAATAGGAAGACTACTGCGAACACGGGTATGCGGGCGCGTTTGGGCAGCATACAGAAGGTCAAGATCATGGAGGCGAGCACACCGAGGACTGCTAAATCCGACAGATTCTTGGGTTGTGAGGGCGAGAGCAGCTGCGAGACCATGTCATGCGTCTGAGGCACGATGAAGACTGCACCAACCGTGTTAGTACTGGCGAAGAAGAAAAGGCGTTTGAAGGCGGGCTTGCTATGCCTGATTTTCGGTTTCTTTTTGGCTTTGTGTATTGTTGATAACGTAAGACATACCTGTGCCGTCCGGAGTCCTTCCGTAAGTTCGCTTCCGGTCGTCATCACCTTTGTGTTTTTTGTCTTCTTCCTCGTTCAGCTGCAGGACCTTTTGCTTAGCATCGTCTGCATTGTCGAAGCGAAGCGGTTTGGCGCTTGGCCGCTCTCGCAGCTGGCTACCGTCGGCTTTGCCAACACCGGCCATGTTGGATGGACGAGACGAAAGCAATTGAGCAGTGGATGCTTGGACAGCAGGTGGGCGAGGGGCCCGCCGGTTGATATCACAGTGACGGCGAGGGCGCGGAGCTGTCAAGGCGCTATGCCGGCGCTGTGCAGGCGCCGCTCTGTATGTGCTGGGTGAACTGCCGTGTTGAGAATAGAGGCAGCTATTGGCGCTGGGCGGCGCGGCTCGAGGCTCCGTCTGTTGCTGCGCGGCAGAAAAATTCGCTTCTACGGCGCGGACCAACGGGAAGGCGTAGAGTGTTGAACTCCAGCTAGCGCGTGAATGTTGAAGGTAGAGGAGAGGGGGAGAGGGAGAGGGTTGTGGGCGGTTCCGTGCAGCGACGCGCGCGAAGGAAGCGTGGGTTACTATGACGGCACGTCACCGTGTGGGGCCATGAGCATGGGCCGACTTGGCCGCAACGGGCAGACATGGGTCAAAACTCTCAACCCACGTCTGACTGTGAATTTTCACCACTACGACTACATTGCTTGCCGCCATTATTACCCAGGAAAAAACACCAGAAAAACTGCAACAGGCACACAGAACCCAGTCCGGACAATTCGCCTCCAGCACGTGGCCGTGTAGGTTGCTGGCATCCACCACCAGGCCAGGTCTGCATGCCCTTGGAGCATTACCGAGACTGGTCGAAGGCAGAGGAAAAATTCGGGTGGGCAGAAGGCATTCAATGCGCCAATAGGAGTGCCACCATGCCCCGTGTGCATGAGAAAGTGGGGTACTCTATGTACAGCGTCGACCCGTCTTGTCAATATACCGACTCATCATACAGAATTTGTCCTGCTTCTCCTGTACGTTACGCTATCCGCCTCCTTGCGCGGCCTTTGCTGCTGCGGGGTAGCGTTCCAATCCTGCTCGCCCGTCTGCTCAACAATTTCCCCGGCTGATGTTGGACGACGCATTGCTACCGGTTCAGCGTCGGCGAGCCGACCGTCCTCCATGGCCTTGGATGCCGTTTGAGCCACCTTTGTGAATACCAGTGATGAAGAGAGATTGAGTCGGGCTAGCTGCTCGTCCAAGTCCTCCTGTCGATCCTTGCAGCTGGCTTGGGGCTCAAACACGGCAGCCTCAGGACTGAGCATAAACCGTGTCAGTGCGCCATTTGTGGGCACGCGTCGCGTAGCATGACTGTACCCTACACCTGGGGACTGGCTGCCGAACGGAAGCCACTCAACGCTTTTGCAGGCTTCTACTTCAGTTTCGCCACACCCTGAATGGTTGTCTGGTACCATTTCGTTGACGAACAATGGGTTACTGCTGTTCTTCCGGGGTGGAGACTGGGCCGTCTGGTCTGCCCATCCGTTCCAGGCCGATTCTGTGGGCTCTACCTCTTCTGGGTATGAGCATAGTGTTGAGTTGGAAGCAAGGTCCGGTATTGTCGATGAGCAGGCTGTGGACGGAGACGAGACTGTCTCGGCAATGTAGATGTTTGCTTTGCAGGCCTGGAGGCTATTGAGGAATGCCTGTTCATCGCGCTCTCGGTGCTTGATCTCTTTCTTAAGCTCGCGCGTACTCTGTTGGATCTTCTTTCTTTTCTTTCGCGGTAGGGACGAGTCAGTGTGAAGCCGGCGTTCGTTTCGGGCCTGCCTCTTGCGTAGCGCTTGCAGGTAAGTCACGCAGTTGGCGAGGCCATTTTCACATATTTCCTTTTCGAGTTCCAGTATCGACAGCTGAGCCGGGTAGGTAAGCATCTCCTGCACTGAGTAAGAAGAGCTATGCGCAGTGGGGGCATTCCAATATCCCCATGGACCGGGACTATATTCCATGTCGATAGCAGCGATGCGAGTATCAATTGCAAAATCTGGAAAAAATGTTGAGAACGGCGAGCTGGCGCTGAAGACGAGGAGTCCCTGGAGTTATGTCTGGCAGAGGAAATCCAGGCCTGTGCTGAGGCTGGCTAGAGGCGTCTCTCTAACGGCGCGCGAATGCAGCAGTCCACCCCATCTGGAAGTCAGCAGAGGCCAATGGCCCTTGGGCAAGGGCCTGTTCAATAAAGGCAAAGAAGCTGAAAGCCCGAGCGGTAACGAGATCAAGGGATCAATGAAGCCTCTGGGACAGAAAGAGCAACGGACAAGAGCATGCACTAGTGACAAAGAGTAGCCATGCGAGGCTAGCATCCGCTTGTTCGCCATTGTGCAGTACGGGAATCTCGTATCCAGGAACTGGAAAACGTCATGGGCCTGGACATCCAGGCACAGGCCTCTGCTATTGTTCGCCTCCAGGCAATCGGAAGGGTTACAAAGGGGGTTCGGGAAGGACAACTAGCGGTGGCCCCGAGCTCTTCAGCTTGGCTGGGGTAAAGCAGACGATGCTAAGGCGTCCGTGGAAGTTTTTGTATGATAGGCTCCGTGGTGTTTTGTCATGCCCAGTCAGGGCCATGCAACCGAGGGGCTGCGATTCGCGTGTGATCATAGTACAAGCGTGCTCTGTGCATTGTCCTCAGAAGGGCGAGTGGGCCTGCAACATGATGCTAGAACCTCTCCATACATGTAGACCGAGCTGTGGCTGACGACGTGCGGTGGTGGTGTTGCAAGATTGGTAGCGGTATGCAAGGGCAAAGCCATGTCCTGACGGTGGGAGTGGGGGGGGGGGCGCGTGTGGTCAAGGCCGAGTCTACAGAGCTGATGCAAGGGCATTCCCGCAAGAAGCCATTTTTTCACGCACTCTGGAGCGCCGTAGTCGCCAGGCCGTAGTGGGGAGAGACTGGGGCAAGGTGCCGGCGCGGACACGGCGCCTCGTCCATGCACATCCGCGGCCTTGATGGCGCCTCAGCCAAGCTCCGTGACAGCGATGCTTTCTTCCCTCGCTCGACACCGCCCGCGTCCTCGATGCGTGTCGCGGCACTCTCCAACTCTTGCATGCCATTACTCGGTCACATGTGTCAGAGGCTGTGTCTGGCTCCGCTGTGACGGCATCGCTTATGCAGGCCTCCCAGCAACCCCGCAGTGCCACGGCCCATACAAGAGGCCGGCAGCGAGCACATCGTTCGTCGCGGCTTGGGGCCGGCATGGTTCGAGGACAAGGCCTGCTGCAGCGCGTGCCTGAGCATATTGTTCGGCCCTGGTTTTCCCGGCATTGCGTGTGCGTGTGTGCGTGTGTGGTGGGTGGATGGATGGATGGATGGAGCGGAAGCCCGGCCCCGTTCTTCTCCTCGGCATCTGTTGACGTCACCACTGTAGTCCTGGAGCTCATGTCTGACGACCACACCTCCCCCATGCTTACGCATCCGCCTCAGCTCTGGTACTTGCACTGGTCCTCTCTGCGGGGGGCGGGGGCTCTGCTGGCGACAGGAACATGCACAAAAGCAAAAAACGGCGTAGCGTTGCCCGGCATGAGAAGCGCGGCTGTCTTTATTTGCTGCCGTGTGGCGGGTGATGGCTGACACCACCGCTGCTAGCTAGGCAATACTGTACGAGCAACGGGGTTCTCGTGTTTATTAACTGCTGGAGCTCAACATCTACCGGGCCTTTAGTTACCGCCTGCTACCGCGTAGCACAAGCGTCCCTGTACCCACATTAGTTACTTTTGCTCCGGTATAAGTACAACGCAGCCTGCAGCTCGCTCTGAGCCAACACTCTGACCGACACATACATTGCCCCAACCAAGCCTTGCCGCACTATGGCGACCCAAATCATCGACATCCGGGTCGACACGGCCGAATCCGATATTCTGGCCCATATCAAAAAGGGCCTTCGCCCCGAGGCCGGTGGTGAGAAGACACTGCCCACCTTGCTACTCTACGAGTAAGCAGTGCAGCAAACCAAGCCCAATATACCCACCTGCTAACCCGACGCTCATCTCGGCAGCCAGGAAGGGCTTCGTCTGTTTGAACAAATCACGTACGAGGAAGAGTGAGGGCTCCTTTGCACCAGCAAAGTGACTGTCAAGCTGATCCATGTTCTCCGCCTCAGGTACTACCTCACCAATGCCGAGATCGAAGTGCTGGAAAAATACGCGCACGAAATAGCCCAGCGAGTGCCCTCAGGCTCCATTGTCGTGGAATTGGGGAGCGGGTAGGATCCCGGCTCTCACTGCATAAGAGACTGGAAACGAGCCTCGTGCTTCGTAAGTACTAATATCTGTGCAGCAATCTGAGAAAAGTCAACATATTGTTGCAGGCCATGGATCGTCTTGCCAAGGACGTTGAATACTATGCCGTCGACTTGTCCCTGCCCGAGCTGCAAAGAACCTTTAGCCAGATACCCATAGGTAAGCGTCTGCATCCTACCTGCAACATCTCTCCAGCACTCGCAAGCATGGGTGACTTTCGTCCACCTCCCCATGGGATGCCGCGTTGGTAGGCGTCATGATGGGGCCCCACCTGGGCCTGCATATGTGGCATATCTATATATGCAGCTCAACAAGACCCCCGCCAGCGATCCGAGATGTTGTACATACCAATCGCATGCAATGCACGGCACGGCCATGCCACATGACTGCTGCCCGCTAGGCTGCGCTGACCATGTGCATAGAGGGGTACAGCCACGTCAAGTGCTTCGGGCTCCACGGTACCTACGACGATGCTCTTGAATGGCTCAAGTCACCTGCTGTCGAGGCCAAACCCAAAACGATCCTCTGGCTGGGCTCCAGCCTGGGCAACTTTAAGCGCCATGAAGTGCCGCCGTTCCTAGCCGGATTCGGCCGCGTCTTACAAACCGGTGATACGATGCTTATCGGCATCGACTCGTGCAAAGATCCCGAAGTATTTTACCCATTCGGAAATATGCTCAAACCTAATACTGACGTTTCTGCCTGCGCTAGCGTGTCTTCCACGCCTACAACGACCGCAACGGTGTGACGCATAAGTTCATTCTCAACGGACTCAAACACGCAAACGCTCTCATGGGTGACAGAACCTTCAACATGGACGACTGGGAAATCATTGGTGAGTACGACGTCAAGGCCGGCAGGCACCATGCTTTTGTAGCCCCGCGCAAGGACGTGGTTGTCGATGGTGTCACAGTCAAGCAGGGGGAGAGGATCAGGATCGAGGAGAGCTACAAGTACAGCCACAAGGAGGCGAAGAAGCTCTGGGAACTGGCCCGCCTCTCCGAGAGTGCAGTGTGGGCTAATTCAATGGGTGATTACGGTCAGTATGAGTCAGGCAAAACAACCCAAGAGCCCAAGTCTGACTGCTGCTAGGTCTGCATCTCGTTTCCAAGCCCGCGTTTTTCTTCCCTACCAACCCAGAAGAGTATGCAGCCAGCCCCGTACCGTCCCTTGCCGAGTGGCAGGAGCTGTGGAAATCCTGGGATGCCGTCTCGAAGCAGATGATCCCCGAGGCAGAGCTGCTTTCCAAGCCAATCAAACTCCGCAACGAGTGTATCTTCTACCTAGGGCATATCCCCACATTTCTCGATATCCACATTGCTCGTGCCACAGACGGCCAGCCCACGGAGCCAGCCTATTTCTGGAAGATATTCGAGCGCGGTGTGGATCCCGATGTTGATAACCCAACGCAATGCCATGCCCACTCAGAGGTGCCTGAAGAGTGGCCGGCCGTGAAGACCATCTTGGAATATCAACAGACGATTCGAAAGAATACAGAAGCGCTCTACCAGTCTGGAGAAGCAGAGAACAATGTTCGCGTTTCGCGTGGATTGTGGATAGCCTTTGAGCACGAGGCGATGCATCTGGAGACCCTACTCTACATGCTTATTCAGAGTGACAAGATTCTGCCGCCTCCAGGCACCAAAGTGCCAGACTTTGCGGCTTATGCGGCACACTCAGATGTGCTGGCGGTTGAGAATCAGTGGTTCACAATTCCGGAGTCTGATATTGACATCGGCCTAGACGACCCGGAGAATGATTTCAAAACCAAGCGATATTTTGGATGGGACAACGAGAGGCCTCGTCGCTCAGCACACGTGAAAGCGTTCCGTTCAAAGGCCCGCCCTATCACCAATGGAGAGTATGCCACATACTTGTTCCAGACTGGCAAGAAAGGTACGTACCACCTAACGGAGGAAGATTCCCTGTTGACATGGAATCATTAGAAATACCCGCATCCTGGAGTGAAACGTCGTATTCCAACGCAAACGGCACAACCATGACCAAGAGAGATAGCGTCATCAATGGTCATGCAAATGGCGACAGTGATCCCTCTTACAGCATGATCGAAGGCAAGTTCGTGCGCACTGTATACGGTACCGTGCCTTTGAGGTTTGCAATGGGCTGGCCTGTTGTCGCATCCTATGAAGAACTTGCCGGTTGCGCACGATGGATGGGCGGTCGCATCCCTACAATGGAGGAGGCACGAAGCATCTACGCCTATGTCGACCGCATGAAGCCAGAGTTTGAGAAGTCGCTCGGGAACACGATCCCAGCAGTCAACGGGTATGTCTTTCGGAAGTAATCACAAAGGAACATGTAACTAATGTCACACAGTCACCTGATCAACGAGGGTGTATTCGAGACACCGCCATCACCCCATTTGTCCAACGGCAACTCTGGTGCAGCGACAAGTCTCAACCCACACGATCTCTTCATTGACCTTGAGGGGGCCAATATGGGCTTCAAGCACTGGCACCCAGTCTCGGTGGCCGATAAGGGCAACAAGCTCTGCGGGCAATATGACCTGGGCGGTGTCTGGGAGTGGACTAGCACTGTACTGGAGAAGCATGAAGGCTTTGAGCCGATGGAATTGTACCCAGGTTATACAGGTATGCAGCGATTCGACGGGCCTGTACCCCTCGGCCTATGTACAGGGCCGTGTCGCTAACAGCAGGCAGCCGATTTCTTTGACGGTAAACACAACGTGACGCTGGGTGGATCTTGGGCGACGCACCCGCGCCTTGCTGGGCGTAAGACGTTGTAAGTGAATGGTAGCGACTGTGACAAAGACCAAGGCACTGACATGTTGAAGCATCAACTGGTACCAGCGCAACTATCCCTATGTCTGGGCCAGTGCCCGCATTGTGGCGGACCTCTAGCGGAGGACTGGATCACGTGATTCTTCGGTCGTTGCGTTTGCACTCTCCTACTCGGGCAAAGCGGTGGCGCATCGACGCGAATCATCGCGGCTCACCACAGCAACGCGGCAAACCGTTTCTTTGAGTCTGCGAATGTACGGGCGCTGTGATCAATGTTTATCCGCCCATTCACTGTCCCTTCAGTGTGCTTCTTGCTGTTGTTGCTTCTTTCACCTCGTAGCCCCCTCGCTCTTTCTACACACTGCTTCTGTTATGTAGTTTTGGCCAGTAACCAAATATGCAACCAACCACAACCCGTGCGCAACTCTTCCCGCCCTGCCTGCCGAAACACGTTTAATTGCAACGTGACTCTGATTCACTGCAGATTTCGCGGCCAGCACATTGATTGTCTCGGGCTCGCACTCTATTTACACCCGCAGGTCCTCTTAGCCTGCTCACGCTTCTCTTTCCACTCAACCACTACCTCATTGGACCGTTATCAATTGAAAAAGCCAACGTCACACGGCGACATGGGTCAAAGCCTGCTGTTCAAATGGGAAGACTCCCAGGCGCTCAAGTAAGTTGTTTACCCTCCGACAATCATTTGTCTGGACTGCCCGACGATTTTCTTCAGGCAACAGCATTGAGCAGTCAAGGCATGACTAACCATAACAGACACCACTGTGGATTCTGCGAGCGTCCCCTAAACCATCCAGGCGCGAGGGTATCTTGCTTTGGAAAGCATAGCGAGCCGTGTGCGCGCTTCCATCAGGCCCGTAACCGTCTTGCTCGTCTCTGCAACAGGATACTAATACGGTATAGGCTATGTTCATGCGGCTTCGCGGCCATACTTGCCAATACTGCCTATCAATCGACGAGGCTCATTACAAAAGACACCAAGACATTGCCGAGCAGCTGCGCGCCCTGTACGAGAGTTGCAGTGAGGTCGATTGGAATATCGTGCCGTCTGAACCAGACACCGCGTTGAGGGGAAGACGGAGAGAGTTTGACCGCAATGCCGACTCGAGTGTCGAAGTTGAACATAGAGTCATTGGGGACACGCTATCGTCAAAGCGTGAGAGGAAGGAGGCGAAGCGCTTGGCGAGAGCGGCGAGTAGGCCAAGAGTAATCACCCAGGAAGAGATACGATATGTCGACTCAGTTATTCATTCGGCGGATGGAATTACTAGCAATGATACTGACGGGCCGCGCAATGCCGAAGAGCTTGATGAAATTGAGAGGCAACTTCGTGTAAGTGACCCAGCGTTGGCTCTTGTAGCTCGCTCCCGCCAGCCTACTAACACTCGGTCAGTACCATGCACATATATACAACACACGTAGAAGCCGAGATGGGCTTAAGAAGCTCGCAGATGTTCCCAGCGACACGTCAGATGTGGACTTCGACGCCGAGATGGATCGCATTCTGGACGTTTTCCGCATCATCGAGCTACTCAAACGTAACACAAACACCAGAGGCCTCCAAGGCAAGGAACTCAGAAAATTCCTAACACTTGTGGACGGCTTCAAGCGGGCCGTGGTCGAGGACATTGTGCTGGTCAAGAAAGATACTGCTGAGGTGCGCATGCGGCGAGCCGGCTATCTGAGGTACATTCATAGAACCTCGTATGATATTTTGGAGGACAGATATTCAGATAAAAACTGGAAGACGGGCGAGAAAATCACGCCAGGAGCAAGCAGTTCCAGTAGCTTCGAGATGATAGTAGAGGAGCTGGATCCATTGCCAAGGTATGTTTCCCCTTCGCTTTTCGCTCAAGCTGTGTTCAACCCATTCACTGGACAAACAGCTACTTCATTGTTCGCCGTAAGAAACTAGAAGCTAACTTATAATCAGTGACGAGCAAGAAAACCAGTCTTCGACGCCCCCTTGGGTACAAGACGGTCCTGATCGAAGGCACCTAGAGACTACACATCCACGTGTACATGATGAAAACGGAATCCAAGAAGCAACTAGCGAGTCTTACGAAAACACACCATCACATCTGCCACCAGATCCAGCTCCAAGCCGAGGGCCTGTCTCGCTGAGAGTGGTGAATACCAAGATATTAGAGCGACCCACAGGTCCCACGTCATCCAGTAAGAAGGAGAAGGCTACACAATTGACAACGGACGGCTGGAATGTTGTAACCAATGGCAGCTCGCCGAGAGTGCATGTTCCTAAATTGCGTGTCTGGGGTAATATCCCAGTCCAGCAGTCCCGAGTGACTCCGACTCCTCGGCATATCGACACTCCTGAGTCGTTGGACCAGTCTTCTGCTATAAACACCTCATCGATTGGGTCCCCTGAAATGGCGCCAGCAGTCAAAGATCTTCCAATCAATACTACGAAAGAACCCGAGAGTTTTGTCGCAGAGCAAGAAGGAATAGCCAACGCACATCCGATCGTCTCGCAGAAGAAGAAATCAAAGAAGCTGCGCGAGGCAAAGCGCAAGGTTAAGAAGACATCTGACCCAGAGGAGTCTACGGGTGTTTTGATTGCTGACGACGGATCTGATGGCCAACATAGCAGAGCAACAAATGCACCACTCGGCGATGCGGTTTTAGGACTGGAAACTGAAAACCAAATTTCGGACATGGAAGATGATGAAGTAGCACCTTTGAGTCAAGAAGATGACCCCAACGGTGAGGCATCAACGGCCGCAACCCCCAACAAAGAATATGTTGGGGCATCGGTCATTTCTCCTCCCTCTCCTGCCCCAACTACATCGCATGGCAAGCAAATTCACTGGATGAATTTCGTACGTCACTTCACCGTTGATCAGCTCACAAACCCCTTTCTACCACTGTGGAGTGGTTGTACATATGCATCTTGGTGCGCCTTTGAAAAGAATGGTGTCCCAGACTGTCCATTCCACCAACCACGTATGTCTGTCAAGAGTTCATCTAGTACAGACTGCTGACAAATCTTAGACTGCGCCTGTGCCGACCCTACGGCGGACCAGTGTTATCTAGTCATGCCTAGTGATGAGCCATGCTCAACTGGGCCATACAACCGTCTTCGTGGTGAGAAACTACTAGCACAGTACGAGGAAGATGATAGAACCAAGGGCCGTTTGATGCTCGTGGACAATGATATGGTTGAGTACCTTGTCGAAGGCCAATCGAGCAGAGCTATGTGTTACGACCTGGGTCTTGTACCGCCGCGTCTTGCAAAGGAGTACGCGGAATTTGCCGACGGTTTCGAACCTGGGTCACTCATGGAGCAGGAACGCCGATTTGAGCGCCTCAAGTGTAGGAACGCGCTCATGAAGCAACAGCTTACGTACAAGACGCTACGGGAGATTCAGTGTGGAAAAATCGAGCGAGAGGGTGCCCAATACTTCTGCTATTGCCGTACCACGGTGCCCCAGGAGTTGACCCCATCTCTGCTTAAAGACCTCGTCGCCTGCTCCTATCGGGATTGCCCAATGCGCTATTTTCACAAGTCCTGTATCAAGAAGCTGGGTGTGGATAAAGCCTCGCGCTGGTACTGCACATCATGTGAGAAGGAGATGCGGATCCAGGCCAATCGGATGCTACGAAAGCTGGGCTACACGGATATTTCAGATGATTCTTCTTGCGACCACTCTCATGCTTCGGGTTTTGACGAGTTACGAGGCCTGGCCGATGAGAAGGTCGACCATCTTTTGCGGCTACCCAAGAAAATCTTGACGGAGCTAGCGTCGCATAAGCTACGAAATCAAATGAAGGATTCTGAAGAGCTTACGGCTATGCCATAGGAGGACCTCAAGTAACTCATCGAGGAATTCAATGGAACTGGTGGAAACGACAAGAATATTGGTTCGGAAGGTTGATTAGAGACAGGGTACTGCCGATTGGCTGTGCTTGATATGTATGTGCAGAAAACGACTAAAACACCCCAAAGCCTCAACCATACATGTATCAGTGATAGTAAACAGAGACAGAATAAGCATAGTTTCTTCACTTTGAATTCAACAGTGTCAGCCACGGTTGGCAATTTTGTCACATCACATTTCATGCCTTCAATACACGCCATGTGTTAATATAAAAACAGTGCCCTCACATTCCCTGTCTCTATATTCCTAAAGATATATCCCAAAGTTAAAAGCAAAAGCAAAAGACCATCAGCCTTCAAGTTCCCCTTGCAGCCTCCAAAACTATACACCACCGAAGACAAACCACCACAAACACATCAAACAACCAAGCATGTCTTCCATTGAGACAGTTATCATGCCCAATACATCCTCCTCTAGCATCCTTGCCGGCGCAGAAGACCAAGACATAATGATAACATACCCGCTCACCCGCGTATGGGCCAACACGCCATTAATCGTGCCAACTTCCAACACAGCCTCGACTTCTCTCCGGCACCACCACCACCACAATCGCCGTGCAAACGCACACGAAGACGAAGAAGACGAAGACATGCATTTGTGCACCCTCGCTTTGTGCACCGTCGACAGCGTCGACTTGATTCGAAGGGATACGGCGGAGCGGAATACGCGCAGGAGCAGCGCGAGCAGTCGGACTGCGAGCGAGATTAAAGGCAAGGTTGGGGGGCTGGTCGGCGTTTTGAATCAGAAGGTTAGGGGCTGGGTGAGGCGGTTGTCGTGTAAGATGTAGAGTTTTCTTTCTTGTTTTTTTTCTTCTTCGATTTCCCATGTTGGTATTTGAACGGGGTTTCTTGATTAGAGGTGGAATGTTTGTACGTGTGGATAGGGTAGAAAGGATGGGGATTGAAGCTGTAGCTTTCCTGTATAAAATTTGGTGGGGGTTTTTCGGCATTGATTAATACGATCTTATATTCATGATCTAGTGCTACTTTGCATGATTGAAGCTACTGCGCATGAATATGTGTGATATCTACAAAGACCCGAGATTACTGTTGCAATTGCCGCTTCCAGAACCGCACCAGTGGCTTCCAGATGTTTGTTTTTCCATCAAGCTGAGAATACGCCACACCGAGAAGTCCGCCTGCGAAATGAGCCTAGGGGATGTTAGATGGATGCTACTCTCATAATCACGAGACTGAATAACTTACCGCGTGACCGAAATTGACAAAGCTGTATCCGCGAATCATGCCAATGAAATCGAACAGCACAATGGCGGGCAGCACATGTTGAGCCTCAAAGTGCACCGGCACAAACAGAATTCCAAGACCAGCATGCGGGTACTGCATACAAAAAACGCCCAGGATACCAAAGAGCGCGCCTGATGCTCCGCCACAACGAACAAAGATTTCGGGAATGGGTCGCTTCTGAATGGGTATCAAGGTCGACCAATGCTGCGCAAAACCAGACAGCACGCCGGCTGACAGGAAGAATGACAAGGTATGATACGGGCTGCCCTCGAACAGGCGCGAATATCCAACTGGTTTCATGAAGTTGTTCAGGAAGTACATGTTGACGAAGAAATGCAACGCCCCAGAGTGTACAAACATGGATGTAAACTGCGTGTAATTGACGTTGCGAGCCGGAAGGTGCCAGAGCGTATCCCAGGTCCGCGGCACGAGAAAGCTACTCAGATGGATTCCGCTGTTGGCTCCAATGATTCCATAGGTGATTCTTGAAATGGGATCCACGTTGTTCCATGCTCCGGTAACGACCTCGGTTGGGGTCGGTGGTGTGCGCCGGGGCATGGTCCACTGCGGTGTTGGGAGCCATCCTCCGGTCGATGTAGACGCATCCTTGAGCTCTCTTTTCGCTTCCAAGTAGGAAAGACCGAGGAAGATTCCACTGGACACAGCTATAGCCCATATGGCTGGTCGCAGATATCGGACCCTGACATGTTTGAGTTGTTCCAAGATTGCATCTTGATCTAGCTCTGATTCTGATGAATAAGGCCCTTCATCATATCGCACACGGGGGTTCTCTTCTACGATTTGACCCTGAAGTGGTGCAGTATTTTGTGGTGTGTGTGGCTGCTCCCGATGTGACGGTCTTGGCGCTCTTCTTTGTGGTACACGTTGCGTACGCGTCAGAGAAAAGCTACGCAGTTGGTCAGCGGTGGGGCGGAACTTTGGTAGAGCCGGTGCTCGAAGTATGCGGCATGCTGGCCTCAATAGTGGCCCAGCGAACCTGAACGTGAACATGAGACGGGTGGTCCAATGCAGCGCGTGGTGGAGATGTGGATGTCATGATGCGAACTTTCCAACGGCCTTCGGCCCGACTAGCGTGGGGTCCGTGCGACTCTCACCATCCACGCGAACATGTGTTCTTCCTGTCATCCAGTCCATTCCTAGTTGTGGTTCTTCAAAATGCATTCTCGCCCGCAAAATACCGGAATTACTCTCATTCACGACGAACTTGCCATTAGAGGCTTTAGTTACTTTACAATAAGAGCTCTAGATCTCCACGAAAACTTTCGAGTGCCTACGAACCACTTGCATTGGCAAATGTGCGATATACGAATTGAATTCTACTATATTAGAGATGGTGTTGGACTGTCACATCACACACCAAACCGATACAATTTTCTCAAACTAAAAGACACGAGCCATCCTAATCTATACTTGAAGCCCCAAAATCTATATCATCTAAGCCTGCTTTCCAGCCGCCACAGCAGTTGCATGCTGGCTGCTCGCGCTGCTAGCATTTGCTTCGTAGTGGTTCTGATCCATCAAGCTCCAGTCGCCGATTTGCTCGTCACCGAACTGGTCAAGGTCGAGACCCATCATCTCTGCCTCTGAAGTAACACGGAGGTGCATGCCCGGGATGAACTTGAGAATGTACAAGAGGATGCAAGAGACGACGAAAGAGTAAGACGCAATAGCAGTAATCTCGGCAAGCTGGCGACCGACTTGGACGCCGACGCCATCCATGGCACCAAGAGGGTCGTATGGTCCCATGCCATCCAGGTCATAGACCCAGGATTGAGCAAAGATACCAGTGAGGAACGATCCGACCATACCGCCAATGCCGTGGAGTTTGAAGACATCCATGCCCTCGTCGATTCGGATCCATTTGTCGACGTTTTGGCATAGCGAGCAGATGACGCCGGTAAGGAAGCCAATGAGTGCAGCGATCCAGAGCGAGACGTATCCTGCAGCAGGAGTAATGCCGACGAGACCAGCAATGGCACCTGAGCAAGCACCGACGACAGAGAAGTGTCCCTTAGTACGGACGTACTCCACCATCACCCAGCCAATGACACCGAAAGAGGCTGCGGTGTTTGTGTTGAAAGCTGCCACCATAGAGCGGATAGTGCCGTTGAGTGCGCTGCCTCCGTTGAAGCCGAACCATCCAAACCAGATGAAGACAGTACCGATGAAGACGAGCGTGGGGTTGTGGGCCTTTCCGTGGATCTTGTCTCCCTTGTGAAGACGTTTTCCGAGGACAAAGGCATAGGCAAGTGCAGACCATCCAGATGCGATGTGGACAGGGCCACCTCCGGCAAAGTCGAGGGAAGGAAGGTTGAACAACCAACCGTTGCTAAAACACGGTTAGTTTTATGATTGTTTTGAATTGTCGGGCTGACTTACCCGTTCCAAGTCCAGCAGGCAATTGGGCAGTAGACAACGGTCGCCCAGCAAAAAGCAAAGACCATGGATGGCAGGATGCGTCCACGCTCAAAGGATCCACCAATGACGAGCTGTACAGTGCAGGCACAGAAAAGCAATTGGTACAAGCCTGTACAGTCAGTACGTCTGGTTAGAACTAATCGAACAAATGTTGCTTACAGAAGACGATTTCAGGCAAGAGTGGGGATCCTGGAGATGGTGCAGACATGACATTCTTGAGACCAAAGTTGTCCATGTTGCCGATGAAGGCACTGGCAGTTCGCGAGTAGGCGAGCGAGTATCCCCAGAACATCCATTGGAAAGTCGTACTTTATGCTGTCAGCGAGCCTGGTAGATGTACATGGCTTGTGGATATACTTACACGCCCATCACAGCGAAGGACTGAAAGAGAAGGGACAAGGCAGACTTGCGGCGTGCCAGGCCAGAGTATAGGAAACCGATTCCGGGGATGATCAGGAAGACCAGGAAGGCCATTATCATCAAGTAGATGTAATGGAACTCCAGACCAGTATACTGGAGATTGACATTTTCCTGGTTCGGGTTGCCGCCATTGGGCTTCGCCGGGTTGAACTCTGGCTACGCGCATGTTAGACTTGTCTCATGACTACAGGGCTTTGCCGACAATGGCACTTACAGCGGTTGCTGGTTCCATGGTGTATGCAGAGGCTCTAAGATGCCGACCAGAAATCAAGCCTCAAGAGGTTCTACAAGACGGACAGCCAGATGTACAGGGGGTCTCCATGCTCATATACACGGGAGCGTTCCCTCCAACGCCTTGCCGCACTCTACAAGAGACCGAGATTGATGCGCTGCTAACCCCGGATCAGGCCCCATTTCGACACAGGCGAAGGCGCTGTGCCCCCAAACATCGAACAGGACGCCCTCTTGGCAAAGATAAGCAGGGCGTGCTGAATCCAATGCCCAAGGAGCCGAGCACCAGGTGTGGAGCACATGGCTTGAGCCGCCGTGTTCGGCCTGTAGAATCAGGCCGCCAGGAAAGACAAAGAAGTCAAGCGCGCCGAACTGCATGTCCCAAGTCCCCAAGCCCCGGAAGCGACTGTTGGCCTGAACGGCGCGTGTACAAAGTGGTGGACGCAGGGTTTTGGGGTGTCTTGATAAGACACGGGATGAATGCGGCATAGCGGCATCCCGGACGATAAGCCATTCTGGATCAGGGGAGATTACCCGCTGCTGAGTGGTCTGCTCATTGCATTCTGGAATATTTACCTGATGGCCGTTTGTAACACGTTCGAGGGAGAGATAGATGGTGCTTGTTTATCAATTCCCATATCTGGCTCTCCCACTCACTTGGGCGTGTCGTCGTGTGTGGCGGCCGATTCGCTGTCTGCTGGCCCGTGTACCCGAACACCAGGTCCATGCCTACCCCCAAGTGCTATCGTGGGGGGCTGGATATCGTATCCTCTGATGCTGCCGATACTCGGCTTATTTTCGAAAGCAAAGGCGTTGTTGCGGGAGATCATGCGGTACTTTGTAGCGGGCTCTGCTTCAAAGGTTTCCCAGAAGTGGTAGTATGCTGCGCCATGAACATGTGACACATTGCGTACAGTCAAGTCACTCTAATCATCTTGGCTGACATATGTATGTCGGCAGAAATAGAGAGTTCATAAGCCAGCTCTTAACTTTGGAGGATTACCATAATCATCAGCACAGCAGCAGTTATTTTCTACTATGTGTCATGTCAGCATTATGCACCTATATTCTATTCGGCACGATATGGCTGAATTGTCCGCGATTTTCCTCTTTCACAACCATGTGTCTCACCGGGTTGTTCTGCTCCCTGTGCCAATGCGAGTTGTTACTCGAAGCATCATTGGGGAGAGCGGAACGACTTTGCCGAACCTCATTCCGTCTTCCTTTGCACACTCATAACTGGTGTATGGCTAGACCTATTTCCTGCTTTCATTTGCCCGCTGCATAATCCCGGTTATGGCATGACAATTTCCTGCAAATCATAACAACACCTGCAGCATCTCGAAGCAGTTAGAGTCATGCAAGCACCGCCACTCTGGAGCGTCATGGCGAAGGACGCAATAAATTACCTTGGTCTGCATTGGAACTTGAACACTCGGGTCGCTCGCTTGTGCTGCAGTAAAAGTGCTAGATGTTTCATACGTCGTAGTGATTTCACAACACTTGATGTGACATAGTTGTACAAATTGTGCTAACGATACGCAAGGCCAGATCAACGACAAGCATATCCAAATCAGGATGGCCTAGACCATCTCAGCTAACCCTTACGCATTCAGCCGACATACAGAAATCATGCATGCGAAAGCCATCCCAGAACATACAAACACATAACGATTCTGTCCAAAATCCCCAGCTTGAACTCATCTCCTTGCGCAGAACAGGAGGCTGCGCCACAAACTACCTCTTCACCCGATGAGTTCTTGTGTCAAAGCCCTATCCTGCCCGCTTAAATAGTTGCGCTGTTCCAGCCACCGAATTTTTGCTCTAGCCCTCCTGGAATTCATTCGAGCTCTGGCGGCCTGAACAGCCGAAGGCACGTCTGTGACCATGTGGAGCATGCTTCTTCCAACCCTCCCCGTCGTAGCCCTGAACCCATCTACGCGCACGGTATCAAGTATACGTGTGGTCGATCGACGACGGCTGCCGAATTCGGTGTCAAAAAATGGATATGGATCCGAGGCTGCGTATTGCGGGGGAAGATCGTCGCTTTCGCTGCTTTCGGGAAGGCTGGTGGGCCGGTGAAGGTGGGGCGGACGAGATGTTGGGCGAGGTGGATAGTAGAGAGATGCAGTGTGCTCGTGCGAGTTGTGGAGGATAGGCGCATCGGATATTCGGTAGATTGAGTCGCACTGGCTCACTGCTGGGGTTGCAAAATACACAGCAAAGCGACGCCCGTCAATACTGGCGTCTGGAGGGTTGGTTTCTCTGCCTGTTGCTCGATTGAGCAGCGCCGATCCTGTCTCCCTGTCCCGTTGCTCATGTGCTTGTATCAGCCCTCTGAGGCGAACTTCAGTGTGAGACTGTCCTGAGACTGGCACATGCACAGAATGGGGCACCAGAGATGCTGAAGGCCGTTTCTGTGCTTCGCCATGTCTCGAAATGCGGAGAAATCTGCGTATTGACCTCAGCCCACCGCTTCTGAACAATGATTCTTTGGCCTGCTTTGAGGCGGAGACATCAGCACCAGCTCTCTCATGTCTTCTCCGGAAGTCCTCTTCAAGACTCTCCGAGATCGACCGTTGTCGCCACGTCCTGGTCGAATCCATCATGGTCCGATAGTACAGTCGGTCGGCTTTGGGTAATGAAGGAAAACGGGATGTGATAGAAGTATAAAGGTAGGGGGAGATAGTGGGCATGAAGTTGACAAAGAGTAACAATCCATCCTCCTGTAACTCAGGGTTTGATTGCGATAGACGGTTCCACTGCCGTGTGCTTGCTGAGAGTGGTTGATACGGTACGGTTCTGGTCCACTAGCTATTACACCATTCCAATCGCGTCTTGCGCGTCATAACACTATGGCTGCGCGTCACATGTCCAAAGAGAACATGATGTAGAAAAAGAAGTCAATAATTTACTGCATGGGTGGCGTACACGTGTCAGGGGATACGCGACGACAGGAACTTTGTTGCTGTCAAGACACAAGGCATTAAGAACGCATTAACTACCTGACTCCAGCTTCTCACCAGGAGTATGATACAAATAGTCAAACCCTTTGCAGATTAGCTCTAGCGTGTCGGGATATGGATATAGTTTGGCAATAGCTCGGCTTTATGTGGTTAGTGAACCTCTGGTCCCTCTTCCGAATCTGTACACCCCGCGAGAGTACCGATGTTGCAAATGCTCAAATGAAGCTCTTCTACGTAAGCAACGACCAAATTCTACTCCAGTACATGAAAGGAGACAGGCACACAACGTAACTATGGGCAACTCTAACACACACGTCTGCAATGCGGCCTGGCCAATATGCATTGATATTCAGGAGGAAACGTCACGTTCCTGATAAAGAAGCACCCTTTTTGGTAGCGCAACGATTTTCAATATAGCAAATATGCGTTCTGCACCAAGTACAGGGTGAGTACCACATCTTTATACTACGCACATAACGGAAGACGGAGAGTTCAAAAGCATTGACTCCCGCCCCCATGCAGCTTTTTCTTATGCCTAGCAAAATATAACCGGATACAGGCTAAGCCGGTTGATCGCCACAGATGACTTTGTATACTGAGAATCACAAACAAACAAGTACTTTGAAAACGCTGTATTATTGATTACTGCATGACTGAAAGCTAAATGAATGAATACAAGCACAAGTAGTACTGGATTGCTGCAGATCTAATCAAGTCCCCAAGATAGGAGTTTACACCTAGATCATCCTTGACCAGCTGCGTACATGAGTGACAATTATGAGCCAACGTGGTACCCATGAAACTTTCTCATCTACTGCATATGGCCTTTGATGACGATTTTGCCGTGCTCACACTTGAGCGTGATTTCCTCATCGAAGTAGTATGCCTTGGGAGGCTTTGGTTGTGGCCAGCTTGGCTTCTCTTCCTCTTCAGGTTGTGGTTCAGGAAGAGGAACTGGAGTTGGCTTGGAGGGCTTCTCATCTTCGGGCTGTGGTTCAGGCAAAGGAACTGGAGTTGGTTCAGATGGTTTCTCCTCCTCTTCAGGCTGTGGTTCAGGAAGAGGAACTGGAGTTGGCTTAGGAGGCTTCTCATCTTCCTTGGGCGGCTCTGGGTATGGCTTCTCTTCTTTCGGAGGCTTAGGGTGAGGCTTCTCCTCCTTGGGGGGCTTTTCAGGGTATTCGTGGTGGTCTTTCTCATCCTCTTTGGGCGGCTTCGTAGGGTAGCCTTTGTCGTCTTCCTTGGGGGGCTTTGGATGTGGCTTTTCTTCTTTAGGTGGCTCAACCGGGTATTCATCGTGCTCATCTTTCTCGTCCTCTTTGGGGGGCTTCGTAGGGTATTCTTCTTTATCTTCCTTGTCGTCCTCCTTGGGTGGTTCTGCCGGGTAGTCGTCGTGTTTGTCGTCCTCATCTTTCTCGTCCTCCTTAGGAGGCTTTGGATGCGGTTTCTCTTCTTTGGGTGGCTTTGCTGGATATTCACCTTTATCGTCCTCGTCTTCTTCTTTAGGAGGCTTTGTAGGGTAGTCATCTTTGTCATCCTCCTTGTCATCCTCCTTGTCTTCCTCCTTATCTTCTTCCTTATCTTCCTCCTTGGGTGGCTCCATTGGGTAATCATTGTCCTCCTCTTTCTCGTCTTCTTTGGGGGGCTTTGGGCTAGGCTTCTCCTCTTTAGGAGGCTTTGTGGGGTAGCCATCGTCTTCATCTTTTTCGTCGTCCTTGGGCGGCTCTGCTGGGTAGTCATCTTCCTCTTTCCTATTGTCAGCAAATCGTTCCACAGGATAGAAAACTGGTTCAAAAATGACATACTGTCGGTCTCGTCTTCTTCCGGCTTGGGATGGCCGGGAGTGGGTGTTGGGTACGTCTCCTTCTCACCCTCCTCCTCGTCCTCCTTTGGCACAGCGGGGATGTCTTCTTTAGGTGGAATGCAGATCTTGCTGGGTTCGTACTTATCGCGTTGTTCACAACACTTTTGGTACTCCTGCAGGGCATTCACATCATCGCTCCGAATGGCAATTGGCTTTGCAGTCGCAGTGAAGGCAAGAATGGCAATAACGCTCGCTTGAGTGAGACGCATCGTGGCAGACAAACGAGGGGATTAAGCAGCTGAATATACCGATTTTATCTCTCTAAAGTAAGTAAACAAAATATGAACTGCTGACAACTGTTGCGAAGACTTCGCGGTATTGAGGTGTTGTCTGCTCGAAGGCTGATGTTCATCATGGTCGTCAATCCTCCTCCTCTTATACCAGCTTTCTTGAGTCAGCAATCTCGCACCAACAGTCTTATTTGCGTGCTCTTGAGGAGCATCTGCACTGTTACGTTTGGAAATATTGGGTTCCCGCCTTAAACGCGCCATAGTCTTGGAAAACGATGTCCAAGCGCACAGGTGTACAGTGTTGAGAGTCAAGATGCTGTACAATGCATGTCAGAGCTCTCCAGCTTACCTTATACTAGCATGAAGTCATGTTTGCAAGAAACATGGTCAACTCAAGTCAGCAGCAAGGGGAACACCTGTGTTGCCCTGCGGGGTAGTATTGCCTAGAGTTTTTCTGTGGTTCGGACGAGCCTCCGCAGTGCTTAGGATAGTGGGTCGGATGCGTTATACATATGGAAAAACGCCGCTGAACCTCCAATGGGCACCTCTACGAAAGACGAGAAGTCTCGTATTACAGTCTTGGCCAGACCAACTGTTGGTCGGGATGAATGTTGCGGTGGGAATGCACAATAGCATTTTTCAGGATGCCGTCTTACACCGAAGTTCAAGGTAGGGCGCAGCATTTTGCCGAGTAGCCGCTTGCAGTGCATGGAAATTTATGAGATGCTGAGAGGATGAGAGTACCAAATCCGCAGACGCGTACTTAGACGAGGCTACGCGGGGTAGCGTCTTGGCGCTCTCTTGGACGTGACACATCACACTGCCGGGCTGAATCGGCACTGCTGCCCCTTCCCAATATTGTGGGAGAATGGCCTGGCAATGCTTAATTCATGCCTTATGACAACATATCGTGATGCCCGCAATAGGCAATGTGGAGACAATACATGTTACGCAAGGCTGCCGGCACGAAAGTTACCTTACCTAGACATCTTAACATTTAATCCGTCATTGAGCGCATGTACGAATGAAATAAGGTAGAGCTGATACATGGCCTAAGCTCACTCCTTTTAAGTAACAGCTCCGTTGTATTACCCAAGGCTCAGCAAGACACAAGATGGTCTTCTATGCGAAGTCAACGGTTTAATGCAGAGCTAATATACTAGCCAGGCATCTCAGGTACCCAAACAATCAGATCCTTTGCAGCTTGCATTTCTCCGCTGACCAAAAACATATTGGATCCTGCATTAATGTTGATTCCGACTATCCGGCATCCGAAGTGGCGTCTTACAGTCGCGTGATTCTCGCCTTGGTGGATTTGAGTATGTAGAGGCAGGCATTGTCACAGGTGTGAAGCACGCTCTCAAGTCAGACCAAGAAGGAACAGGCTATCGATTTACACACTGTAGAACGCCACATATTACTCCAAGGTCGGCCATACAGGCCAGAATAACCCGTTATAATGCTGAGGCGTCTATGTTGATCCGTACTTGACGTATGCCCAGCAAGCTTATGTCATGGCATCTGCTGCGCATCAGGCACGCTGTTTGACACATATGAGCTCTTCCGGATCTAGAAAACAATATAACCGGAAAGGGATATAAGGCACTCCATCCGTGCTCCCGCGTACAGGCCATGGATCCTGTGAAGACGTCTGCCTGCAGGAACACAGTGCAGAGAAGCCCCAGATAGTTACTGTATCACAAGCACCAAACCTGTTCTATGATTTAGAGAATTTTTTCTTGTCATTTAGCTATGAATTGTGTGAATGCATATGAAGTCCACTCCTCAAAAAAAGCGGTAAGACAAGAGGATCCTGGCCATGAATGAGGATCGATGGGGCCGCTGAGAAGGGCTGCGTATATCATGATGTATGCCACGGAAAACTTTGCGTTGGATGCGAGAGTCTAGACACGCTTCAGACATTGTTCAACACATTGGGACATATATGCTTAGGCTACAAAACGGACAAGACGGATCGCTTACGGTCAGCCTGAACTATACACCAGATGACCGGCATCTGTTACCCGATACTCACTCACAATACAGTCATACGGAGAGGCCGGAGTATATGTAGAGGGTGCCGACACCCCTTCGGCATTTCCATAGATACCTTTACGCCAATGACCGCAAAAAAACAAAAAACATACAACAGCTGGGATTCGCCAGTGGTCACCCACCTGACTACTAACCAGCCGGTAAACTGCTTGTGAGCTGCCGAGCGGACGAGAGACGCTCCAGTCTCTTGCACGATGGACACAAATATTGTTAATATGTCTGTATATGGTTACTGTACTATGAGCCACTTTGCTGAATACGGATTATTAGCACACATTACTGACTATGGCTAAGCGCCTTATCATGGGTACGCATGATTTTTAATAAAACACTAGTGTTGGTGGCTTGCTACACGACATATCATTCGTGCATAGATGGGCAGTGCGTCAGTGCTGCTTTAACAGCAGCACTGACGCATCTCTTACGTACACGGATGATGCCTCCTTTTCCTAAAATTAACTAGCCTTAATTGTAGCAGTGACAGTTGTCACATCACGATTGATGTCATGTGACTGAAAATTTTGTGACTGTACAAAAAAGCTCTTCATATTTAGCTTCAAATCTAGAAAAAACTTGAACAATAGTCGCTTGTAGCTGCCTATACGATAATTAGTCTTAGTAAAGATTAGCGTGTGAAAATCAAGTGACGCTCATACACTAATGAGCGTTACCGCCTGCTTTGTTGCTATGTAGTTACTATCCCTCCACGTGTGCCGGAAAACCCTGTGTGGCGGCATGCCGATAATGCTCCCACCACAACAAACTCAACCCTAGCTGAGAGGCTTAGCAAATCTTGAGATATAGACATCAGCCATGATAGTTCCTTTGCGTTGCGTGTCTTTAGCAACAAGTTACTGTGTGGCTAGCAATACTGCGATTTGCTGCCAGTATCCACGAGAGACCTGCCTTGGTCAGCCTTGGAAGTGATAGAGGGTTTGCGCATATATCTTAGAATCTGTAAAGCTGTATAAATATGCATGAAGAGTCTATCCTGAGCGAACCACTGTAAAGCGGATTAATTGATTGTATCTGCTAGTCTCCTTTAGTTCACTGTCGCACCTAACTAACTACTCGTCAGGACAAGTTTTAGGAGGCACTCCCTAGATTACAGTACTTGCTCTTAGCTGCCTTCCACAGGCTTACGACGATTAATGGGACATTACCTAGTATAAACTACTCATCCACATTTTTCTATGTTTCCTTGTTTTGCTCAGCCTCCAAAAACTCCCACACTTCAGTGTGCCCTTCTATCCTTGCAACATCTGCAGCAGCATGTCCACCTTGATTCTTGATAAGCAGATTTGCTTTCCAAGACACTAGTAACTGCACCACGTCTAGATACCCATAACTCGCAGCCCATATCAAAGCTGTACGCCCATAGCTGTCTTGGCGGTCGATTTGGACGCGACGGCTCGAAAGAAGTGTTTCCACAGTCGCTGGAGATCTATCAAAGAGTGCCCATAGTAATGGTGTCCAACCATCAATATCGACGTCGTCCTCACCGCCGCACTTGTTCTTTAGTAAAATGCGCAAAGTGTCAGTATGTCCCCCTTGACATGCCCAGGAGATCGCATTGCGTAAGTCCTTATCTTTTGCGGTTTTGTTGACTCCTGTTTTGTGCATCAAATCACTAACCACCTCCCTTTGGCCATTTCTCGCAGCCCACAACAGTGGAGAGAGTCCTTTGATATCCTCTTCAGGCAGGTGACGCATTCACCAAAGAT